GAATATACTAGGATTGCACTCAAACCTGTTCCCATGACCTCACCATCCTCCATTTTTATATATTCTATCCTTCCCTTCTCATGATGACAGATAAAATTTTCAAGGACTGGTTCAAAATTATGTTCAGACGGTAAAAAGGAACGGCAATAATTTTTAGAGTAGCCACTTTGAATTTAAAGTCAGTCTGGGAAAAATGTCCTTCAAAAACAGTCCAGCAAATTTTTCTTAACTGCTCATTCAAATGTCAGCTATTTTGAAGTTTTCAGCATGTCTGAGTAATGACTTAATTCCTGATATAAAGCAACTCAACCTATGCCAGGATTACCACTATGCACTGAATGCATGTCTCACGCCATAATGTCTTAGATGGGGACATGTCACGCCTACCAATCTCATACCTCTTATTTTTTTTCCATCTTAATCTACAATTTTAGAAGATATTATTCAATATTCCTCAAGTCAGTTGTTCAACATGTGTACATTTGATGATGTGTGTGCACCCATTGCCTCTTTCGTACTAAATTGTTTTCCATTTCCTGCGATCTCATGACCTCACAAGATTACGACATTCTCATCAACCAATTTCAAAATGGCGGCATGCATGAAAGAAAAGGGTGCAACATCATGCAATCCACACATCGTGCTCATCAGTTGTATTTAAGAAAAAGTTGGCTTTTGTTTCTAGACTGCTAACACAAGATAATAATAAGAGGAGGATTTTAACCACAATCCTGGTGGGAGGGGGGGGTTAATAAGATACATGCTTTACTGCTCTAAATGGCAAATGCCTAGTTTTTATACTGTTATTTCATGCAATTTATTTTTCATTCCTTGCAAGACTAAATACCAACCTATGGACTACTTTAGTTTTTATTTATCAACAAATATTTATGCATTTCCGTTGTTCAGTTCACAGGTTATTATAACCTATGTTTTGATTGCCTGCCTTTCTCAATAATTGTAAAATACATTGGCATATTTAACATTAATCATGCATGACATTCATACAAAATTCAAACCCACCAGTGCAAAATAACATAGACATATTTATATAAATATATTTTTACCTGCATGAATTCATATATACACATATATATATCATGATTCAAATTACAAAGATTTGCTGCTCACAGACAGACACAAACTGAAAATTTCACATGATAATACAGTGTAGATGATTCACCATGCAGACATTAACGGCACACATATATTCATTTTTTTTCTTATCTCCTGCTGAAATTTTAACCCCTTAATTTAAATATTATGTAATAAAATACTCTAGATTATGTCTAAATTGCCCTGTAGCTTCTCAAACAAATCCAGATTCACTGATTATTTGACTAGCGCCTTTGTCTGTCATATTTCCACTGAGAAAACCCCAGGTGAGAGCGGCAGTGAAAGATCGACCTAACGGACGTTTTGTCACATATCCATTTTCTCCATAATCCAGGGACTTGAATTATAGCATTTCATATTTCGTGATGAAACAAAGAACCAAATGCTCTTCACATGCTCTTTTTTCGAAAGCAGATTAATTTACACAATATTGTTGTTTTTTTTTATAGCTGTTTTGCAGATTGTGTTTTCTGATATTGCAGCCTTTGTCCTAATCTTCGGGACAAAATGCTCTCTGGCAACTGAAGATAGCCTGGGAAAACTTGATAACAGGAATATGAATTAATTGCCATTTACTTTCCATGGCAATGCTAGTGACTAAGGTCAGTTAACTTCATTTGATACGTGTATATGAGAGAGAGAGAAAGAGAGAGAAGGAGAGAAAGAGAGAGAGAGAGAGAAGGATAAGGGGGGTTAGCGAAACAAAACTTTTTTTTTCGTTATCTAAAAACAACATGCCTATACCTAAAGTCAGACCATCTGAAAGCCTTCATCTTATTACCACAGGATTATAAACAACAAACGGTTTCCTTTTTCCTCATGTTTTCACAGCAGACAACAAACCCACTGTTATCTCACTCGCGCTATTCAAAACCAATATTCTTCCTGGCAACAAAACACCCTGGGGGACAGCAAAACGCTTGATGAATCAAAACATTCTATCTTTCTCGCACCAATTGCTTCTCTTGTTTTTCAAAAAACATCGCTGCCTTCTCAGGCACATAAATGGGAGATTGTATTTAATCACCTGGGCCCATTATCGCTGTACAACGTTATATCGGGTTACTTGATATTGCCAGGCGCCAGCAGGAGGGAGGAAAATCATGTATCAAAATTGGAGAACTTTCAAGTATGGCTTGTCAGTTTAAAAATATATTCAGTATACCTATGTGTCAAAACTGGATGCAACTTTCAGATAGCTTTTCATGAACTGAAAATGTTCAAACAGTAAGTTTTATATGAATTGTGACTAGTAACAAATTAGAATATGTAGTTTATGTTTACTGGATTTGAAAAAGAAAGGGATAATTAATTTTAATATCAACATGTATTGGAGTTGAGGAATCTTCAAGCATTTAAATTTTTATTGAACATTAAAAAATTTAGAATAAATGTTACAGGATTTAAACTAGATAAATGTGCTTAAACTGGATAAGCCCTTTGGGCAGCGAGTTCTTGGGAAAAAACAGATGGCAAAGGCGTATCAAAATGTATCAAATATAGAGATATTTTCGAGCATCCCTCTCATGTTCGTTTGATCTTAAAACATGAAACACTTAAGTAAGAATGTTTCACCCAGATCAAAGTCTTGTTAGTGTTTGAGAATTAAAGAACAAGCTAGACTTATAGGAAATTGCATGCTTCTGCTTACACATTATTTGATGTTCGATAGAAGAATACTATTATCCCGAACCGAAGAGGTCAAGTTAAAAGTAACGGGACAGATATTTGCACTTATTGCAGACCCTTAGAGAAACAACTATTTACAGGCATTAATTTTTTTTTCATTTTGGACACAGGTAATAAGATACAAGTCTTATTATCCCCAAGACCACCAATTGAAAAACTGGAGGAAAAAAAAGGAGACTAAAATTCAACAATTTTGCTTGACATCCTCAAGACGCTCTGTCCAGCTTTTACATTGTGATATCCTTATCTACAGCACTGCACGGCACATAAAGGTCAAGGCAGATAGAAACAGCGTGTCCTGCTGGGTTCTTCTTACGAGAGAACCAAGTACAAGAGAACCAAGAGTGTGAACAAAATCAGTGGATTATTTAAAAAACATCATTAAGATAAATATGATGCTGTGATGCAATTCAATATTTGATTATCATTTATTTTTCAGCAGGCAGTTTTTCCCCCCATTTAATGTAATAAATATAATAAATTATTCAAATATAAACCTATATAAACATTTGGCTAAAAATAAAATAAAAACGCAGACCAAAATGAATTAAAATGAACAAACAAACAACCAAAATAAATAAATGAATAATGGGTAAGATTGGAAAAGGTAAAAAATCACAAGGTGTTTTACTTTGTTTTTCCAATGGATATCCCTGTTTAGCCTAGCAGAACTAATCCAATTCATTTAAAAACAGGTTCCCTTTTTGTTTCGTCAGAACCAGGGCTAGGTTTCCATTTGCATGCAGAAAACACATGAAAAGACATGCACCTCTTTGATATCCTATTGAACCTACCAAGGGAAACAGGTTGATCTCCTGAAGCTTGGTGTGAACAGGACCCTTTTTTTTCTCTGATGTTCATTTTAACCTTATAGCACCTTGGTCTGATACTTTAATGTAGTGCATGGGAATGTAAATGGGATAGGCAAGTCCTTGAACTTATTTGCTGAGAATAAGTAAAAAAAAAAAAAAAATTAGCATGCAAAAAAAGAAACATGCAAAGAGATGACATTTCATCCAAAATTTCTTTTTTTTTCTTTCTTTTTGTGATTCAGGCTCTTATATTTCATATGGGAACCACAAAGTGACATGAGAACATCTTTATATCTGAATCCACATCATATTTTCCAGGAATCAAGGAAGAAAAACTTCCGAAGTGATACATTATATACCATTACCTTCTTGCTTCAGCAGACAAGACATTCATCTGCTGTTGCAATTATGGCAATGTAGAAAACGGATACAAGCCATTGGAAGAGTTTCCATCACAGACTAATCTAATTGAAAAACAATGTCAGGGCTGTATATAGATTATGGATATGTATTTAGTGTTTTTAGACCAAGAAGACTGTGGAAATGTATGTTTGACATGAACACATATTCAAGAACGTGTAGCAATAAAAATACACCGACCGAGTTCATTCAATCTCCATTTCTGTGATATGGGCGTATTACCTGGAAAAAAATTATCCATTAAAGTAACACAAAGCCCTTTTAAATATAACTTAATTCCCTACAAGCAAAAGATGTCTACCAGCTAGTTTAGTGTTAAGTGTGTATTAAGTGTGATCAATAGTAATTATTTCAACTATTCTGATGGAAAGAATGCAAACTACCACTGGCAAAAGTTTATAATGTCTTTTAACTGTCTTTTTATATATACCATAAAATGAAAAAAAAAATCAAAAGTAATTATTTTGAGGAAAAAAAATTGAATGAAGGTGGATTATTTCCTTTTGAAACCAAACCCAACAAACTACAGATACCATATCTCCTTCTTTTTTATGCTGACAAACACCAAATCTCACTTTTGGAATATAACCACATAAACTGTTTCCACATAAACAGACATACCAAAGATACAATGGGAAAGAAAAGATAGACAAACAAATAAATACAGAGACAAACGATCAAACCAAACCTTACAAAATTTCCTACGGGATCCTTCAGGCCATATCCTAGATAGGAATCCTATAAGATTTCCCATAGAATTCCTAAAGAGTCCCATAGAGTCCTTTAGGATTCCTACAAGATTCCTACTGAGACATAGAATTCCTATAGAATCCTGTAGGACCCTATTAAGTCCGATAAGCTTCCTATAGAGTCCAATACGATTCCTGTAGAGTCCCAAAGGGTCCTGTAACATTTTGGTTAAGGAAACTACCAAACAACAAACAAACAAACAAACAAACCCACCTTTATAGAATCAAAACAACATGTGACTCTTCCATTCTGAACTTCCACATGCGGAGGAGGGTGTGCGAATTTACACTCCAGCTCTGTACGTGTGCACTTGTTCCTTTGGTATTCTCGACACACTTCCAGCGTTAGCCAACGAGAATCCTTTTGATTGGCCAAAGTAGCCAGTTGAGCAGCCGCCATTGGGTTCATTACTGCCGAATTAGGTATCCCTGCTGCCGGATTTACCATAGCCATGTTTGCGTCTGTTCTTGAAAAGTTTTTATTTATGTAACAACCAGTTATTTTGACAAATTATCTGACCTCTTTGGTGTCAGATTTATAACACAGATTATGTAAAATCTTTAAATGCTCAGTTTATGTACAAAACTTCTATCTATACACTCTACAGTGTATAAACGTATGACACATTGGGTACAAAAATAGAAGAATTTCCTTTGATTCTTTTTTTTTTCTGGTAAAGATGCTTCCTTTTTTTTTTCTTTACGTAGAAAATAATTATCCACTACGGTTATTGGGAGGTCCTACGATCAGCAGTGGTTGTGACAAGGTCTGTGTTGGTACTTGTGTAACAGGTGTAGTTCTCTCCAAAGACTATCTGAAATGAGAAGGAAAAATGACATTAAAATCACATCGTAGTTTATAAGAACATATATCTTCACAGAAAACAAAAAACTTCAGTACAACGAGCTTGCTACTTAGAGCAAGGACCGGTAAAATTGGCTGAGGCAAGAAAATGAAGTGTCGCTCTTTTAAATGCCAATTTTGTACGTAAAGCAATGCTCGTTAGAAAAAAAAAACTGTTGCAGTACTTATATGACAGAAGAGGTTTTAATCACGACATTCAATGTTAGGTCAAAAAACTCCATCTCTACAATAGTATCACCAGGCATGCCAGGAAATTCGTGGAGAAAACACTGCATGTTTTCAATGGTAGAGACAGTCCTATCATGGAGGAATCGACCCACGTACAAGTAGCTCCCAGATACAATCTAACACAAATTAAGACTTGCTTGTTATTCATACCGTCATACCATGAACCAGATCATGCATGTATTACAAGCATAAAAATATTTTAGATGCAGCTTGGACCAATATTTCCAGACTTTACGAAAGGCCAAAAAATCTGTCAGACATTCGGTCTGACAAGCTTGAAAATTCTGTCAGACCGAAACAAAATCTGTCAGACCGAAGTAAAATAATAGAAATATGAACCATTATTCATGTTTTCATGTGTATTTTCTAAAGTTTTAAATCATTGACATTAAATCAAATATTAATTTTTTGATATATATTTATTTGTAAAAAAGTAAAATAAGGAAGAAAAAAAATAGGTAAAAAATTACTTGCATAACAAGTTGTTTTTTATTTAATGAAAAAGAAGCTGTGGAATGATACAAGGACTAAAAACAATACAAGTATGAAGAATGTGTAGCTAGTAATATCAAATGTATGTCCATAAAAACGTCTGTTAATCAGATAACCATTTCACACCTTGTTTTTGGCAATAACTTATGCATTTTGAAACAGCACAGTAAGGCAGTCTCTTTCATCCAATTGAAGCTTTGACAGGGACTGTCCAGTCCGAGTCTAAGTTCCTTTTTCATTTTATTTCTTTTTTTTATAAAAAGAAACTCAAACTGTGAGCTTTCATCAAGTTCATGCGCACTTTCTCCAACTCGTGATGAATGGTACATGCAAATACGTACATATGTTCCATAATTTAAGAACCCGTAATAAAGTTGTAACATTTCTGTTGCTATTGATCAAAATGATAACTTTAGTACTCCTGACACTCGGCACACACTATTTTCCTCTCCTACAGATCACAAGTCCGCCAGGGCCTACCTTCTTTCCAATTTTATTAAACTTCCGTTTCTCTTCTTCACTTCACTTCGTTTTCATTTTTGCCAAGCTTTACACCAACGAAGTGTTTAAAGTTCAACAACATCATTTTCTAAGCAAAAGGCTTATCCATGAGAACTGTGTAGGACTGATAATGAAAAAACAGAGGATCAAGTCGGTAAAAACGCAAATAGCACGAGCACATGTGTTGCGGCCATTTTGTTGTGTAGGGGTATTACGAAAACGAAAACGAGACTGTACATTACATCATTCAGGAATTCCCCAACCTCAGCCAGTCATAAAATAGTATTTGTGAGTGAAACTGAGGTTAATAAATTATGTATAATTAGCTGGGAACTCCCCGAGATTTTCACCCCGTCTCTCTTTTCAAATGAAGAAAAATATATCGTCCAGAAAAGAAACAACAACGTATTCCTTATATTTACACATTCCCAGTCAGTTTGAAAACTCGCCGGACATAAGGTCCGACGATACAGGATTTTTTATCGGACCGAGACGAAATTTGCCAGGCATGTCCGACGGTCCGACGCCTTTCGTAAAGTCTGTATTTCTACAGGAAAGGAATCGTTATACTCAGAAATTTGAAATAGCCATTACTGAAATAGGATATCACATACACCCAGTTAAAAAAATCCTGCCCAATGGGATTGGTTTGAACTTTGTGTCAACATGAACTGTACTCTTATCAAAACGCTTACACAGATTCTGTCCTCATATTCCCATAATGCACCACAGTAAACACACCAGAGAGAACCCACAATGAAATTATCACCAATTATGCTCTTCAGTCTGCCTTATAGACAGTTTACAGGGCACGTTGCTAAATATGCACTCTGCAGGGGTCACCAGATATACTAATTTTTCTAAATTTTTTTAAAAACAGCAGATTTGTTAGCCGAAATGAATTTCTCATGGACTGACTGTTAATTCAAAATGGCCGCTGCCTTGGACCAACTGAGCAGAATGTGGTTCTTGAAAAATGTTAATTATCGGTCACAACAGACATGACCAACTGTTCCAGAATGTCTGAATCATGCAGGAGAAAAATGGAGTAGGAGGACCTATACAAAGTTTGGAGGCCATGCTTTAACCTGAACAAGATCAGGTATAATGGCCCACTTCTGACCTTTTTAAAATAAAAAGGGCCACCTTAAAGATAAGAATATAGATGGACCAGATTCGCGATCATGTATTTTCGGTCATTTGTGGCCTTGTCAAGCAAATTGCCCTTTACTTGTTACACATTTATACAGTCTTCTACTAATACATATATGCCAATAAGTGAAAATCATTATTCAGGAACTGTATACTGGCCATGCACATACATAACTAAAACGTTTTACTTCCTTTCTCTGCTGCCTTAAACTTCCAGTGACTTCTTCCCATGATGATTATAAATATAATATGTAACCCTCATCCTAGGATCTTAGAGAATAATTCATTTGATAACATAGTGCAAAAACACTGAAGAATACTGAACTCTGGCCTGACATGAAAACCCTCTTCCATTTACCATTTAGAAAGTACATTATCATACTGGTATCTGTTTTAAATGTCATTGTCTACAGCTTATCATGGATAAGTTCAACAGCTGTTGTATATATAGAAATAAATAAAAAGTCTGGATGAGATAGAATTGTAAATAAGAATTAGTGGGATTTTATAACTGAAAAATAATCATAAATCCAGATAACTTCTACTAGTATGTGTGCGTAATTTTGATAATTAAAATGGGCAATACTACCAGATCATAACAAATGAACCTGGAAATTAAGAAGGCATATTTTAGCTTGAAATCTCTAAAGGTGTTTGCATGAGTGTGTGTTTGTGTATACATCTCCATGTGTACCTGAATGCGCATGTGTAATTGCACACGCACATGCATGCAAACCACGCATCCCCCACATAGCACATCTTGAAATATTCTCCTCGCTTGTCTGTTATCATAGAAGTTGCCCTAACAAAGTACCCAGTCATGTTTCATTAGAGCCACTGCTGTATATTTGACATGCTGTTGACATCTTTATCTGCCTGTTTTTTTACTGCTTTTTCTCACCACTTTGATAAGCCATCTGCCAGTTCGCCTGTCGTCTGCTTTGCTTTTTAGCCACAAAAAAGTATTTTCCAAAAAAAGATTTGGAAGAAAGGTTCGTGTGAACTGTTAAAAAAATAACACAAATACAATATTGTACAAAATGTACTTGAAGTGACATCAAATTTTCATTAACATGCCCCTGCGAAGATACTTTTAAAATAATTCACACAGATCAACTCTGAACATAAAGAACACCATAAGAGGAAATCAATCACATTAGAATTATTTTGTAAAAAGTTGCTACAGCAAATCATTTTCTTACATTTCCCAACATTTGTCATAACTACCAACTTTAGAAAAAAAAATTCCATTTGTGTCTAAAACTATACTTACAAAATTGCTCTGAATAAGATTTCTAAAGGAATCATTTATAAGTTCCACCTGTACAATGCTATCTTCTCCCAAAGTATTGTCAACATGTTATTGTGTCCTATGATAATTTGCTCATAACCTGCCTAAAGGTCACTGTGTGATAATTAATAAACTTCATCCTTGTAGGGAACAAGTCCTCCCACATCTAAATTCCTGCTTTTCCTGTGGAAGACATGCTTTCTTTTACAGCTTTCAACTTTAGCAAATGTTTTTTTTTTTCATTTTTATTTGACCATACAGCAAAATAATTAAGTGAAACTGGCAAGAGCCTTCTCAATGACACCAAAGCAAAATCATCAGTGTACATGTAATTTTAAGTATGTTTCTTATTCTTTTATCACATGTAATGAAAAAATATGAATAAACGATTTGTATATTTAGCTCGAGTCAAGCAAAAATTTTGTCACACAACCTGGCAGGGCTAGTTACATGGTTCCTACAGCTAGCTGTAACCTACAGTCTCCAGTTCCTACAGCTAAAGCTACAAGAGTCTCCAGTTCCTGCAGCTAACACAACTCACTGCTGTCTCCAGAATTTCTGAGGGCACATTTGTCGTTTCATTCAGTTCTGCATGTTACAATACCCGAGGCGTATTTTGTGTTGGTCACATATCCGACCAATCATGTCTTTTTAAATAACTACTTGCAGATCGCGTCAGTTTCGAGCCAATTAGTCAGAGCCAATTGTTCGGCATTGGTTTGTGATTCTTAAGTCATCAGGTTTGAATTCCCATCAGTAAGCTAAAAGCCATAAAAATTCCTTCATCATTACTCTTTGCATTCATTGTATTGGTTTATAGCGTCTCTAGGCCTACTACCTGTCTGTAGGATTAAAATTCTCTCCTGTATTTGAACATTCCACTCCAACAACGTTTCAACCCCAACAACATCCTAAACTCTTCTTAAAACATATAAAGATTGAAATCTTCTACAAGGATAAAATTAATCAATCCTGTCTTTCACAAAGACTGTACAAACCCAATGCTAAGATGGATCCTTGTCTATCTAAGTCACAATACTTGCTACCAACTTCCATTTCTAGGAAACTTGCTGTGGTTTCTATTTTTATTTTTTTGTTTTTGACCTGCTAGCACTTGTTGTTTGACAGGGTCATTAAAGAAAGAAAATTCAATTGTTCACAGCTGATAAACTCCTTTGTCTGAACATCCCTGCCAACAACCATCAGTATGAAGTAATCTGAGTGACAACATTACCAAAAGATAAATGAATATTCTTTTCTTTTTCAAGTCACATGAACAAACCAAC